GGTACACTATACATTATATTACAGAAGCTAAATTAGGGAAAATCAAATGTTTTTTTTGCCATTGGTGACGTACAGACAGGAGGAACATGCTCCAGTTAGTGAGAGGTTGATCAACTTGAGGCTCAACTCTCTGCTGCCTCACCAGCTTCGCTTCCGGCAATTTAAATGGGAAAATACGAAAATTCAGCAATTTTGAAGAAAAAAAAAAATCAGAATTGGTCAAGCCAAATGAAAAATAGGTACTTTATAGTACAAACCTCGGGGTGAAAAAGCAATGTTAATTATATATTTCCATGATTTAATGATCGCAGGTCGCTGATTCACAATTAGTATCGAGTAACTGGCTTATCAAATTAATATTTTCATCAACCCAGTTTCACAGCAGTAATGATTTATGTAGCTGCTGATGAAATTTAGCTGATTTGTCTGGATGTTTTCCTAACTGAAAAAAATACAACACAACAACAGATGTATACACCCTGGTTTGCTGAACAGATGATTTGGGAAAATATTCCACATGAAAGTTTTATTTTCAATTTTTTTTTAAGAGTTTTTTAAACTCTTAATCAGATTAATTTTTACTATTTGATTAAAGACAGTAAATGTCAAAACATTTAAACCTCCTGCTACAGAATTTAAAAACCCATTTTATTATTATTATTATTTTATGTGCAGTATTTTTATAGAGAAAAAAAAAAACTCCAAGGCAATCTTGTCCAGATCAGAACAAAGCGCTTTACTGACATCTACTGGTGAAAAAACATATGGCGCCCTTAACATTCCTTCTGCTTAAATCCCTTTCTTGCCGACTGTTGAATTTCTTTTGAACACTCGCAAACAAGAGCAAAATTACTACCTGTTCCTGTGACCTTTTAACACCTAGATAAGTTACAGCGTGTTTTACAGGGACACATTTCAGAAACAGCAAATTAAGTTTCAATCCTAAAATTGTCATCGGACATTTCATATATGATATGATAAATATCACTGACTCAATAGGAATTCATATTTTCATTGATTAATGGTGTAGATGTTTTTTTCCTAGTTTCACAATATAAAATAGAAAATGAAAATTGTTTTTATTCAAACTTCAGACGTTTTTCAGTTGTTCTGCTGGAGCGGGGAAACGTGACATCACGTTCCTGTGACATCATAGAGCTGCATTCTTGCATTCCAGGGAACAGCCAGAAAATATCAATCATTTGTTGAAGGCTCTCCTATCGACATTGCTTGTCTGCGATTTGTTTGGACAATGGACAATGAACAATATCTGGAGCTTGAGGCTCAAATTGCAGAGCACGAGCTTGAAAACAACAGGCGGTTTGAAAAAATGGAGAACGAAATTTTGAAATTGCGAGAGGAATACAACTATCTAAAGCAAAAACTACAACATCTCAAAAAAAGGGGGGAGGATAGAGAGTTGAACATGGACAAGCTGGATGAAGACGTGCCAGTGCAGAAGACATCTCTCTTAAAATGTTTTGCCCTAGGCTTCGGAATAGGGATTGCCTGTATTGCTGTACTCGAGACCGGTCTTGATGTCTGGATCGGGTTCAAGAGCAAATTTTGATGGTCTCCGGTACAGAGGACTCAGAGGCTGGTCAGGATAGCAGCAGGAAGGAGACGCCGGGGAGACCTGTAGGGACGCTGGGAAAATCGGTAGGGACCCCGGGGAAACCTGTAGGGACCCGGGGGAAACCTGTAGGGACCCCGGGGAATCCTGTAGGGACCCTGGGGAAACCTGTAGGGACCCCGGGGAATCCTGTAGGGACCCTGGGGAAACCTGTAGGGAGCCGGGGAAACCTGTAGGGAGCCCGGGGAAACCTGTAGGGACCCTGGGGAAACCTGTAGGGACCCTGGGGAAACCTGTAGGGAGCCCGGGGAAACCTGTAGGGACCCTGGGGAAACCTGTAGGGACCCTGGGGAAACCTGTAGGGACCCTGGGGAAACCTGTAGGGAGCCCGGGGAAACCTGTAGGGACCCTGGGGAAACCTGTAGGGACCCCGGGGAAACCTGTAGGGACCCTGGGGAAACCTGTAGGGAGCCCGGGGAAACCTGTAGGGAGCCCGGGGAAACCTGTAGGGACCCCGGGGAACCTGTAGGGACCCTGGGGAAACCTGTAGGGACCCCGGGGAAACCTGTAGGGAGCCCGGGGAAACCTGTAGGGAGCCCGGGGAAACCTGTAGGGACCCTGGGGAAACCTGTAGGGACCCTGGGGAAACCTGTAGGGAGCCCGGGGAAACCTGTAGGGACCCTGGGGAAACCTGTAGGGACCCTGGGGAAACCTGTAGGGACCCTGGGGAAACCTGTAGGGAGCCCGGGGAAACCTGTAGGGACCCTGGGGAAACCTGTAGGGACCCCGGGGAAACCTGTAGGGACCCTGGGGAAACCTGTAGGGACCCTGGGGAAACCTGTAGGGACCCTGGGGAAACCTGTAGGGAGCCCGGGGAAACCTGTAGGGACCCTGGGGAAACCTGTAGGGACCCCGGGGAAACCTGTAGGGACCCCGGGGAAACCTGTAGGGACCCCGGGGAAACCTGTAGGGAGCCCGGGGAAACCTGTAGGGACCCCGGGGAAACCTTTTAGGGAGCCCGAGGAAACCTGTAGGGACCCGGGGGAAACCTGTAGGGACCCTGGGGAAACCTGTAGGGACCCAGGGGGAAACCTGTAGGGACCCAGGGGGAAACCTGTAGGGACGCAAGGGAGACCTGGAGGGACCCCAGGGAAACCTGTAGGGAGCCGTGGAAACCTGTAGGGAGCCCGGGGAAACCTGTAGGGACCCTGGGGAAACCTGTAGGGACCCAGGGAAACCTGTAGGGACGCAGGGGAGACCTGGAGGGACGCTGGGAAAATCTGTAGGGACGCCGGGGAAACCTGTAGGGACCCCGGGGAAACCTGTAGGGAGCCCGGGGAAACCTGTAGGGACCCTGGGGAAACCTGTAGGGACCCCGGGGAAACCTGTAGGGACCCCGGGGAAACCTGTAGGGACCCTGGGGAAACCTGTAGGGAGCCGGGGAAACCTGTAGGGAGCCCGGGGAAACCTGTAGGGACCCTGGGGAAACCTGTAGGGACCCAGGGGGAAATCTGTAGGGACGCAGGGGAGACCTGGAGGGACGCTGGGAAAATCTGTAGGGACGCCGGGGAAACCTGTAGGGACCCGGGGAAACCTGTAGGGACCCTGGGGAAACCTGTAGGGACCCCGGGGAAACCTGTAGGGAGCCCGGGGAAACCTGTAGGGACCCTGGGGAAACCTGTAGGGACCCCGGGGAAACCTGTAGGGACCCCGGGGAAACCTGTAGGGAGCCGGGGAAACCTGTAGGGAGCCCGGGGAAACCTGTAGGGACACTGGGGAAACCTGTAGGGACCCTGGGGAAACCTGTAGGGACCCAGGGGGAAACCTGTAGGGACCCAGGGGGAAACCTGTAGGGACGCAGGGGAGACCTGGAGGGACGACGGAAAAACCTGTAGGGACCCCGGGGAAACCTGTAGGGACCCCGGGGAAACCTGTAGGGACCCTGGGGAACCCTGTAGGGAGCCTGGGGAAACCTGAAGGGACGCCAGGGAGACCTGAAGGGACCCCAGGGAAACCTGTAGGGACCCCGGGGAGACCTGTAGGGACCCCGGGGAGACATGTAGGGACGCCGGGGAAACCTGGAGGGACGCCAGGAAAATCTGGAGGGACGCCGGGAAAACCTGTAGGGACCCCGGGGAGACCTGTAGGGACTCCGGGGAGACCTGTAGGGACTAGGGACCCCGGGGAGACCTGTAGGGACTAGGGACCCCGGGGAGACCTGTAGGGACCCCGGGGAGACCTGGAGGGACGCAGGGGAGACCTGGAGGGACGCCGGGAAAACCTGTAGGGACGCCGGGGAGACCTGGAGGGACGCCGGGAAAACCTGTAGGGACGCCGGGGAGACCTGGAGGGACGCCGGGAAAACCTGTAGGGACACCGGGGACACCTGGAGGGGCGCCGGGAAAACCTGTAGGGACCCCGGGGAGACCTGTAGGGACTCCGGGGAGACCTGTAGGGACCCCGGGAGACCTGGAGGGACGCAGGGAAGACCTGGAGGGACGCCGGAAAACCTGTAGGGACGCCGGGGAGACCTGGAGGGACGCCGGGAAAACCTGTAGGGACGCCGGGGAGACCTGGAGGGACGCCGGGGAGACCTGGAGGGACGCCGGGAAAATCTGGAGGGACGCCGGGGAGACCTGGAGGGACGCCGGAAAACCTGTAGGGACCCCGGGGAGACCTGTAGGGACTCCGGGGAGACCTGGAGGGACGCCGGGAAAGTCTGGAGGGACGCCGGGAGACCTGGAGGGACGCCGGAAAACCTGTAGGGACGCCGGGGAGACCTGGAGGGACGCCGGGGAGACCTGGAGGGACGCCGGGAAAATCTGGAGGGACGCCGGGGAGACCTGGAGGGACGCCGGGAAAATCTGGAGGGACGCCGGGGAGACCTGGAGGGACGCCGGGAAAATCTGTAGGGACGCTGGGGAGATCAAGGTCAGAAGATGGTGATGGTGAGCTTGCTTCTACTCTTCCCATGATGGCCAGTCATCCTGAGACAGAAGCCGAAAACTTTTCAGAAGTAAATGTGTTTTGTTTTAAAATTTTATTTGCTTCTGTACATGATTTGTTTGCATTTTTAAAAATAACGTTACACCAATGTAATGAATGTCATGAAGTTCCTAAATTAGATACTTACATATCTAAATTATTACTATGTCTTTTCAAACTCTTGGTTGTCTTATGAAGAAAATATGACAACTAAAATGTACTGTTCTAATTCATGTTATATTCCAGGCTCCACAAACAGCTGTAGTACACATGATCCCTTCAACAGAAAATTATGCACTACCGTCTTCCACTGGAGATGTAGGACATCCCAAAGACCAGGTATGCACATATCCGCTGTGCCATAGTCATAGATGACCTTCTTAAGTTGTTCATAGACAAAAGCATAATGGAATCAGAATTAAGAATGGAATTTAATCATGAAATGGCTGTGGACGACAGTGGAGTGTCAAGGGACGTGTATACAGCTTTCTGGGAGCAGTTCTTGGAGCTCTGTGAAGGGGAGGAGGAGAGGGTGCCAAAACTCAGACCAGACTTTTCCAAAGAGAGGTGATATGCAGTAAGCCAAATTTGGGCCAAAGGACTCATTGATTATGGCATATTTCCAGTCAGGTTGTCCAAGACATTCATAGTTGCCTCTGTACTTGGTCTTCAAGCAGTAGAATCAATCAATCAATCAATCAAATTTTATTTGTATAGCACATTTCAGCTACAAGGCATTTCAAAGTGCTTGACATCATAAACACAAAACACAAAGGCATGCAACATAGAATAAAATACCAAGGTTTTTTTTTTTTTTCCTTTTTTTTTCTTTCCCCTTCTTCCCCTCTTTCTTCCCCCTTCCCTTTGACACGGAATTTAAGCGCTGTTACCGCCTGTTACCGCCGGACTCCGCCGTCCGCTTAACCACGGGTATTCGCCGGGCCCCGTTGCCCACAACAGGAAAAAAAAAGAAAAAAAAGATTACATACATAGCCACAAAATCAAATCCATACATATTCCTTTTCAAATACAACTCTAAACAGGTGCGTTTTTACTTGAGATTTGAAGGAAGTCAGGGTTTCCGCTGTATTACAGTTTTCTGGAAGTTTGTTCCAAAGTTTTGGTGCGTAGATGCTGAAAGCTGCTTCTCCTCTTTTGGTTCTGGTTCTGGGGATGCAGAGCAGACCAGAACCAGAAGACCTGAGAGGTCTGTAAGGTTGATACAACAACAGCAGATCTTTGATGTATTGTGGTGCTAAACCATTCAGTGATTTGTAAACTAACAACAGTATTTTAAAATCTATTCTTTGAGCTACAGGGAGCCAGTGGAGGGACTTTAAAACTGGTGTTATGTGCTCTATCTTCCTGGTTCTAGTGAGAACGCGAGCAGCAGCGTTCTGGATCAACTGCAGCTTTTTGATTGATTTATTGGACAGACCTGTGAAGACGCTGTTGCAATAATCAATGCGACTAAAGACAAACGCATGAATAAGTTTCTCTAGATCTGGCTGAGACATTAGTCCTCTAATCCTGGAGATGTTCTTCAGGTGGTAGAAGGCTGATTTTGTTACTGTCTTTATGTGGCTCTGGTCTTTATGTGGCTCCGAGTCCATCACTACTCCCAGGTTTCGGGCCTGATCGCTAGTTTTTAGTTGTAATAACTGAAGCTGTGCATTGACTCTAGATCGTTCCTCTTTAGGTCCAAAAATAATGACTTCAGTTTTATTTTTGTTCAGTTGGAGAAAGTTTTGGCACATCCACACATTTATCTGTTCTAAACATTTATTCAGTGATTGGATGGGTTCAGAGTCACCTGGGTGACATCGTAATGTAGAGCTGTGTGTCATCTGCATAGTTATGGTACTTAATATTATTCCCTGTTATGACCTGAGCTAGTGGGAGAATATAAATATTAAATAAGAGGGGTCCTAGGATTGAACCTTGGGGTACCCCACATGTGACCTTTGACCTCTTTGATGAGAAGTTTCCAATTGAAACAAAGAAATCCCTGTTCTTTATGTAGGATTCAAACCAGTCGAGCACCGAACCAGAGAGTCCAACCCAACTTTCAAGTCGATTCAATAATATGTCATGGTCGACAGTGTCAAAAGCTGCACTGAGGTCCAACAGAACCAGCACCGTGGTTCTGCTACAGTCCGTATTTATATGAATATCATTGAATACTTTTACAAGGGCAGTCTCCGTGCTGTGGTGAGCACGAAAACCAGACTGGAAAGTGTCAAAGCAGTTGGTCATCATGAGGAAACTATTTAATTGTTTACACACAGTTTTTTCAATAACTTTGCTGATGAATGGGAGATTTGAGATTGGCCTGTAATTCTGCAATAGTGATTTGTCCAGGTTGTTCTTTTTTAACAGTGGTTTGATGACTGCTGTTTTCAAGGCCTGGGGGAAAACACCTGATGTAAGCGATGAGTTACTATTTGGATCAGATCAGTAGCAATAACAGGCAGGACTTTCTTAAAGAAATGTGTGGGTAGGACATCCAGACAGCAGGAGCTTGAACTTAATTGACTTATAATTTCTTCTAGAGTTTTATAATTAAGTAGTTGAAAATGGGTCATTTTTTCTGTATTTGTTTTGTTTTGGTACAGCAATGGTTCTGGCTTTGAAGTTGATGTGCAGATTAATCCTCTGATTTTTTGGATTTTCTCTGAAAAGAAGCTGGAAAACTTGTTCCAGGCAGCATTAGATTGGAGTTCATGTGGTAACGTCACAGGAGGGTTTGTGAGCCTGTCAACTGTTGCAAATAAAGTTCGAGCATTATTGATGTTTTTGTTTATGACATCTGCAAAGAAAGCCTCCCTTGCATGTTTTAGTGTTAAGTGATAGTTACGTAGTTTTTCTTTGTAGATGTCATGATGAACATGAAGTTGAGTTTTACGCCATTATCGTTCTGCCCTGCGGCAGACTTGTCTTGCAGACCGAACTATTTGTGCATTTCTCCATGAAGATTTCTTTCTACCAGTCAAAACCTTTACTTTAAATGGGGCAGTGGAATTAATGATATATGAGACTTTAGACTGAAAATCATCTAACAACTGATCTACATCATTACAGCTTAAGGGTGAGGAAGAAGAGTAGATTTGATTAAATGTTTCTGTTGTGTTTTCTGTGAAAGAACGTTTTGTGACAGTAGCTGTTTGTCCAAGTGGGTCAAAGAATAAAGAACCTTCTAAGATAACAGCAAAGTGATCCGACAGGGCGACATCAGTTACAGAGACATTGGAAATAGTCACACCCTTACTGATAACCAGGTCCAGTGTGTGTCCTTGAGTGTGTGTTGCTTGTTTGACATGTTGTGTTAAACCAAAATTTTCTAAAATATCAGAGAGCTTTTTTGCTCCTCTGTTTTCGGGTTTGTCCACATGAATGTTAAAATCACCAACAATTATTAAACAATCATAATCAATGCATATGAGAGATAAAAGATCATTCAAGTCAGTAAAGAAATTTTCCACATATGCTGGAGTTTTGTATAAAGTTAGTGTCAAAGTTCGTTTGAAGCCTTTAACCTGAATTCCAAGATACTCAAAAGATGTGAAATGACCGAAAGAGATTTTACTACAGTTTATGGTATTTTTAAATATAGAAGCCACGCCTCCTCCTTTTTTATGTTTTCTATTCTCACTTAAAAAATTGTAGTCAGGAGGCGCTGATTCAATGAGTACAATTTGGTCATTATCGTCATTCAACCTTGTTTCTGTCAGAAACATAACATCAACATTATACTCAGTGATGAAATCATTAATTAATAGAGCTTTAGCACAGAGTGATCTGGTATTTAAAAGTGCTATTTTAAGTGACTTGGAGGCCAAAAGATTTTCAGTCTGAGGTTCCTTTAGGCAGGGGATCAGCCTGAGGTTCAAATTAGGACCGCTGTATTTCATATTTCTATTTTTTGTAAATTTTCTTGTAGTGATCCGGACAGGTAATGTCCTGTTCTGCATTTCCAGGGGGCCAGTTGCATTCTGGAGGAAGACGGGTGTAAAGATAATATCTGGTCCCCAGCCTCAGACCTCAGAGACGCAGAGTGATGGATCCTCTGGAAAGTCAGGGGCAGGTGGCTTAAATGTAGTGAGGTCTGCTACGTGAGTGCTAAGGAGAGACGTGCCGAGGCGAACCTGTTGATTCATTCCATCTGTAAATTTAAAAAACTCTGGTCCGGAAGACATTTCTTCATTGGTATCCATTGAATCCTGTGAATGATTGGAGGAGCAGAGAGGGAGGGGGGAAGGAGCGAGGGAAGCAGTCGCTCCGTCTCCAGTCGATTTATCAGCTTGTTTTGGAATATCGTGCTCCTGATCCGGGGAGCGTTCCATCCTAGTCAGACATCCTTGAGCCTGTTCTTCTGGCGCGATGATCCTGTTGCTGTCCTTGTTGATAAAATAAAAAAGGTTTGCAGTGAGTAGCTTTATCCCATGTTTTATTAAGATTGCGTCCTCCTCTTCCAAAAAGGTGAAAGCGCTGCCAATAGATCCAGAGGTTATCGATGAAGGTCACTGAGCTGGTAGAGCAGGTTTTAATCAGCCATTTGTTGATCGTGAGCAGCCTGGAGTGTTTTTCATCTCCCCATTGAGGTGATGGAATTGGACCACTGAGAAATAACTTCATTCTCAGTTTTCCCATAGTGTCCAGAAGAATGTTAAAGTCCTTTTTCAGAATCTCAGACTTTTGCTTTGCCAGATCGTTGGCTCCAACATGCACAACTAAAGTCTGAATATCTGGCTGATCAGTGGTTAGAGAGAGCAGTTTGTTGGTTAAATCAGATACAGTGTCACCAGGAAAATACATCACTCTTGTTTTCCTTGGATTGCAAACGTCACTGATTCCCTTTACTGCCTCATCTCCAACAACAAGCACTTTTGGGTTACCTTTAGTTTTCCTGGTGGTCGCTTTGTCCTTTGGAGCTTTGGGGGATGGATGTGTTGGTCTTGCCTCACTGTTGATATTTGAAGGCGAAGTTTCACTCAGAGGCTCAGGCTGGAGTGCAGAAAATCTGTTTTTCAGTGGGATTCCCACAGAGTCAGAATGTTTTGAGGCTCGTGCAGGTTGCTTTGTCCCTGGGAGCGGGGTCAGCGGGGTCAGCGGGGTCAGTGGGGTCGGTGGAGGCGTTTTGGTTGCAGCTGCTTGTTTGTCTTTCTTTGGCGGAGCAGGTGTTGAAGTTGAAGGTGGGTTTCGGCTCAGAGCCGGCCACGCTGATTCGTCCAGGTGCGGGGTTCTCTCTGATAGTCGTCTCATCGGATCCGCAGTGCGAGACTCCCGTTTCGGCTTGGCACCCAGAGCGTTCCAGGGTGAGCTGCTCGATGCAGGGCTCCCGACCTCTCCGTTGATTTGAGGAAGGGTCGTTTCATTTCCACAGGCAGCGTTGATCTCAAAGTTCACCTCCAGCAGTTTGATCTTCATTTCTATAAACTGAAGTCGTTGTAAAATGCTGCTCATGTCCTTGGGGTCAGTCGGAGGCATTTTGCCCTGGTTTAACTTGGAGGTAAAGAAAAGTAGGTAAAAATAAAAATAAAAGTACGAAAATCCCCCAGTCCTTAGGT